AGTGCTTTGTCGTAAAATTCAAGTGCTTTCGAGTATTTACCCATGTTGTCATACACCAAACCGATGTTGTTGTAGGATTGAGCCAAATCGGGATGATTCGAAGGCAGAGATTTTTCTCTTATTTTAAGTGATTTGTCGTGATATTCAAGTGCTTTCGAGTAGTTACCCATGTTGTCATATGCAAGAGCGATGTTGTTGTAGGAAGTAGCCAAATCGGGATGATTCGGAGGCAGAGCTTTTTCTCTTATTTTAATTGCTTTGTCGTGAAATTCAAGTGCTTTCGAGTAGTTACCCATGCTGTCATATACTCCACCGATGTTGTTGTAGGAGAAAGCCAAATCGGGATCATTTGGAGACAGAGATTTTTCTTTTATTTTCATTGCTTTTTCATAAAATTCAAGTGCTTTCGAGTAGTTACCCATGTTTTTATACGCAAGGCCGATGTTGTTGTAGGTAGAAGCCAATGAAGAATGATCTTCCGCAAGAGTTTTTCGCGTGATCTCAAGTGATTTTTCATAAAATGAAACTGCTTCCTTGTATTGCCCTTGATCGTCTTTCAACCATCCAAGCTGATGATAGATATCTGCTCTATCACTATCGATGGACGAGTTCTTCAGTAGTTCATTGTAAAGTTCTTCAGCTTGATTTAAGTGACCCACTTTTAGCATTAGATGTCCCAATCGGTGCCATCCTGTAGATCCAAAGAGCTCCCCTTTTATGCGTTGAGTAAGAGTAGCCAATTGTGGATCATTGTCGCCTGTGAGAGTCAATTGTACTTCCCATAGGCGACTGTTGCTGTCTGCCTGTCTGATGTCATCGACACGAAAAACAGTGTGCATTGAGAATAGAATTTCTTTTTCGCTTTCAATAGCACTGTATTCGTCGATAAGGGCAAATGGTGTAGTTGAAGCTGAAACTTTACTTGGATCAATTGTCATGATGAAAAGGACACCCACGATGTCTTTATTCTTGTGCATGGCACGTTGAACGAATTCCATGGCTATCTGTTCTTTTTTACTAGTCGACAAGAAATTATTGAACGACAGTAGACCACCTTTCGTATCGACTAGATGATCAAAATCTAGTTGGGACAGCCCCTGACCGCGATAAACGAAAAATGTTTTCGCATAGGCACCTGATTGTTCTTTATGTAGTTGTTCCAGTTGACGATGGAGGTTTCGAATAAAAAATCCCATTTTGGTCATCGCTTCCATGTCGAGTGATCGTAGGGCACGGTTGAGCATGCCGTATAGGAACATTTCACAGGTATACCACCAGATTGGTGATTTCTGGTGATATTTACCCTGAAAATCTTCCAGTTGAGATTCAGGGACTTGTTGTTGACGGCAATAGACCACTAAGTCGTTTACAGGTTTCCTATCATCTTCATCGATTTCCAATATAATTTCTTTGAATAACACCGAGTACATATAAGACGGTTCCAATTCATCAGTGTTTTGTTGATTCGATGCTGCTTCTTTGATTATCCGCTTCGGAACGAAGCTCATCGGTATTTTGTCATGATCACATTCACGAGCGACCTTTACTAACTTCTTGCATATTGACTTGATTGTCGTGGACACACGTCGAATTTTCGACCAATTCTTTGCCCATTGCTTGTGTTGATCTTTGTTTCTACAGAAAACAAAGATGGTATCAAGTTGAGGCATATTGTGAATGAGGGGCACAGTCTTTTCGCCAAGTGCACCAGAAACGATTAAAAATATTTTTTCATCTTTGATGCTTTCCATATATTCGAAGCACTGATCAACATCCGTAAATACTTCCACTGTATTAACAACATTTCGAAGTTGTGCGAAAGAATTTTTAAAATCTGCGTTATTCTCATCGATTTTAGTGTCGAGCCAGATCAAAAGAAAATTTTGTACAAATCGTACTGGTCGTGATCGAACGGATGATGATAAAGCTGCAGCAACAGTGGTAGTTGTTGTAGCAGTGACTAGTTTTGATGTCACCGATGTCTTCTTCATATTGTCTGTAGCTGTGCTCGTGCTACTAGTTGCGGAAGATGTCTGTTTGTCCATGTTGTATATAGTTGTAATCTTTGAATATTGCAAGAATGAATGAATCAATACTCTTTGATATCTGAAAAAAATGTGAGTGACGAGAACAATCACACTTACACTCAGTGGAATCTATAGACATCTGAGAAGGTACCAACACAACATTATAGCTGCCAAACAATTCTTAATATAGCCAAGAGATATAATCGCCCTTTAAAAATTTCATCTTCAAACCTTAAGCATGCAAGTCTTCTTGGCAAGAACTCGCTCACTGTAACACAGTGCAACTAATTAGTGCAAGAGTAAGCAACAGGAAAATAGAAAATCGTCTAGGCATAAATGAATATGGTAAGCTGTTTTTGGAAGGCCAAACAAAGTAAAATTGCATTCTATTCTTTGCCAATGAGTTTATACGAACCTAATACTTTTGTATCTCTAAACAATTCATTGAAACTATTGGAGAATGCTTTCCAATCAAATCGAACCGACTCTTGCAAAATCTTGACTAAAAAAGTGGCTTAAATCGTCGGTTCAGTTCGGTTTGTAAGAGTCTATCAAATATCGATGAGCTTTTGTAATACCTAGTACAAAACTCATTTTATCGTCTTCAGTTTCAATAGAGGCATCACTATCGAGAGTCATGTTGTTTGAAACAAAAAGCTTTAGATATGAATGATTAAAGTCATGCGGAAAGACATCAAATCACATCAAACAGAATTCGTGTGAATAGTATAATACTACTAAGATAGACACTTTATATTAATCATGAATCTATCTGAACTCTTTAATTCGAGTGCTCGCGACTAGCCGGTTCTCATTCTGACAGAAAAAGAAGATGAATAGCATTGATGACAAATGTAATGAGTGTCATGCACCTCATGGCACTTTTCATTTGTTTAAAATTTTTTTTCTCCCTCGTTTCCTAAATATGGAAATCGTTTGCTTCGAAATGCCGAGATCAACAAGAAATCAATATGAGCTTTTTTCAAAAAAAAACACAATCGAATATTCAAAATACAATCGTAATGTCTATGCCTGTGAACATTTCAACTCCATGAGCATGCCTTTACTAACAGCTAACGCAAAATTCCTCAAAGGTTTTTGCACAATTGATGACTTGCTATTCTGTAGTATCACTTTTGCTGTCAACTTTTGGAACCTCCAGAAAAATTTTTGTATATCAATCAATAATTCATGAAGGTATCTGCTACCTACGTGAGTGTGATTAGCTTTAATCAAACATTTTGGTCACTGTAAATAAAGACTTTTGATTTCGTATTTGATGTTTTCGCTTTGGATTCAGTTTGTCAAGATTCAAATAGATTTTGAAGATACTTCTACATAAGCAGAAAAAGTCTATAATAAGAGATCATTTTTCCTGTTAATTTTTAAATAAATTTGAACTATCGTAGTTTAATTTATTTTAAATATAAATGATACAAAATTAAAATAAATTAAATTGCATACAAATTTAATAATTTTTCAATTTTAAATGGTAGGACTAGTTTACATGTAGGAGCTACTTCAATTAAGACTATCGATTACATATGTTGAACATTCTTAATAGGAAGTTTCTTCAAAATCACCTTTGGGTTAGAGGTGTTACTTTATTTTTACTTTTCCTTATAAAAAACAATAACATAAATAAAACCTTTATCTTTATAAAATAAAAGTCAAGAAAATCTTTATTTTTAAAAAATAGATGTAGATGAAAAAAATTAAATTTTATTTTTTTTTACAAATTAAAGATAATTGATATCTTAATATATAAGTTAAAACTAAAGACTTTTTCTTATTTATATTTATAAAATAAAGGTAAAATAAATAATAAAGAAAATTTTTTCTGTGTGAATATAATCTTTAATTTTTACCAAGTACTTCACAGAATGTTATGATACCATAGATGAAAATCAAATACAAGGAAAGTTTTTAGATCTATTTTTTCCATGTATAAGTTTGGCTTTTTAATAATATCACATGTCGAAATGATGTTGATGATAAGAAAGAATATTGATTAATATATCCTGCTGTTATACTAGGTATTTGTCTATTTCTTCGTCACAGATAAAGAATCTTTCTTTATTATTTATTTTATGTTTATTTATGAAAATAAACAATTCATGTATCTTTATTTTATAAAGTAAAGATAAAGTAACACCTCTACTGCAGGTAATTAAAATGCCTCACGTCCATGTCATTTCGTTTTTTGTTGTTTGTAACTACTTTTGATATTCAATTTTAATTTTATTTCTAGTATAATAATGTTGAAAATCAAATATACTTACATGATAAGTAGTACTGGAGTGTGCAAGTTTTGTTTTGTATGCTTGCAATCAGTTTTGCTTCGTATTTATCGTTGACGAAGTTACTTGGTTTTTTCCTCAGCGATGTATGTTTATGTAAATCAATGAAGCATGACATTTTCATCAGGTAGGTAGTTATTTTTCATGATTGCATTCTTCACCATATCTATTTCGTTCTTTCAATGTTTTTTCTCTTTTTTTTTGTCTTTCTTCACGTTTCGTGTTGTTACGATGAGAACATATACACTGATATTTGTGTATTCGAATGCATTACACTTGTATTTCGAAATATATTTCCCATGAGTAAACAAAACAATAGTTAATGAATGATTTTGTTTTAATTTTAATCGATGAAAATATATGTAAAAATGAATAATAGAGTCATCGACATCGTTTTAAAAATATTTGAGACATTTCATGAACTCCGTTCACATCATCAACCAAAGAACAATTTATAAAACCAGTCGGAAAATATCAATAGCAAAAAAAATTAACACCAAGTCATTGAACCGAAAGAATAACTCATTATATTCGATTTCGTTATAGATATTTAGTAACTGTTTGTATAAGTTGTTTTTTTGAACTGATGATCTGAACGTAGTTTACGAACGGTCTCCTACATGATTACAATGATGTCTATGATTCTATCATTCATTACATTACAGAATGTGAGAGTGTAGGCAACAGTCTTTTGTTTATGTTACGTCGGATATCTGTCGAACCCAGCAGTTTTTGACAATGTCTCTTATTATCTAAGTGGAAGCGATTTATACTTCATCGTTATGCTCATTTGGTGGCAAGACCAAATCTCTTTTAAATGTTTTTGCTTTGTTGACGTCTTTTGGTTCGTGTTAATATTGAAAAATAGATGTTTTACGTTACGCATGCAGCTTGACTTCCTTAACTTGGATAGATCGTTTTGAATTATATGATAGTCTGAAGTTATAGATCTTTAATCTATATATGTATCTTAAAGTCTTTTTGAAATGTCGATTTCTAGATCGTAGATATGTCGCTATATTCTATCACCCTTATTGAAACATATGACAAAGATATGAGAACAATAAAGAATAATCTACAAAATGAACAAAAAAA